GAAGATCCATGGGTGGCCCATGGGAGCTGGAGAGCATGAACCCATGCCATAGGTCTGGGACTAGCCCCGAGTAACAGGAGCAGCTGATGCTTGAGACCTAAACAAGGGCTTAAAGGAAGGTAAGTTTACAGCTGGTGGCAAATGAGATTAAGAAATTAAGAAAACATGATCAGTAGAGTTATCTCAGGTGACTGAACATGCATTCAGTTCTGATTTAGTTCAAACTTTGGAGTCTCTGTGCCCAGGATCCCTAGCGATGTAGTTGGTCACAAGTTGGGCTGCTAACCACAGAGTCAGCTGTTTGAAACCACCGGCTGCCCCATGAAAGAAAGAGAGGCTTTCTATCAGTCCTGGAGTTTACCTGTAAACTCATGGAGTTACATTCTAGTGGGAAGAGGCCGACACACAAAATGACCGGAGTACAAGGCAGATGGTAGCACAGTGGTCCGCCGTTCACAAACACTACCACTCTTCAGGAAAAACTCTCACTATAATAACAATTGTGTGTTTTTTACCCTGGTAAAGGGTGACAGCCTCGGAGACCCCCGGGGCAGTTCTACCCTGTCCCAGGGGGTCGCTGTGAGTCAGCATGGGCTCCGTGGCTGCAGGTTTGGGTGTTTTCGAATGTTCATGGAAGCAGATGGACACTTCTTTCTCCCACAGAGACACTATGGATTTCACCCACCAACTTTCCATGAGCAGCCACGTGCTGAGCTGTTGTGTGCTGGCAATAGCAAAGCACTCCTGCAGCCTGAATGAGAGAGCACAAAGCTCTGATGCAGCCAGCTGCTTTGGGGTGTTGGGGAGAGCGCCATATCCCCAAAGTCTGAGGGACAAGACTTGAGCTGAGAAGTGTCTGGTTTCTCACCCATGTGACCCCTGTACTGGCCAACCTGCATTTTCTAGATTCCTTTCCTTCTTTCATAAAGTGTCAAAAGACCCAACATTTAAAAAGGTAATCAAACTGAAGCAAATTGGAGATTCATCTTGTGCCTCCTTGGGGACAATGCTCTACTGTCCTCTCTGGATTTTTAATATAGTATGGGTCCATCCGAAAAGGAATCACTATTTCATCTTTTTCTTATTTCTAGGGATTAAGCCATAATCCTCGCCTAATAAGATAAGATGAACCTTATGACAGAGAGCTCATGAAATGTGTGACCCCAGTTCCTTAGCACTAGCCTTTAATAGGGGAAATCAGTCACTTGAGGAGTTACATTACAATGTGCGGTTAGTAGCAGACATTTATTGAACACTGATCCTGTACTTTGTATACATTGTCTCAGTTAATCCTCAGTACAGTTCTTTAGAGGGAGCCCTGGTGGTGTAGTGGCTTTTGTGTTGGGCTTTTAACCCCAAGGTCAGCAGTTCAAACTCCCCTGCAGCTCCTCAGGAGAAAGTTGCAGCTGTTTTTGGAAAGCTGGCCAGCCTATGAAACTCAGAGGGACAGTGCTCCTCTGCCCTATCGGGTTGCTATGAGTCAGAGAGAGAGCAACTCGATGGGGGTGAATAAGTGGCAATCTTAGGAGGGGCGCAATTATCATCTGCAAAATTCCAGATGAGGAACTTGAGGCACCCAAACGCTAAGCCAGTTTCTGGTAGTCAACTGTGGACAAGGTTGAATGGAACAGCACCACTTCTGTGTCATCAAAAAAGGTCCACATCCTTCTGGTGTAATCTACAGGTGGCTCCCAGGTTGCCCCGATTGCTGGGGAGTATTGATCCTGTGGGTGGAATTAAATTGGTAGCTTCTAACAGAACAAGAGTAAGAAGCAGCGGTGAGTTTTATTTTTTATCTCAAAATCTGCAGGGGAAATGCTACATAAATCACAAGGTGTTATGATTTACTTTACCCTGGGGGCAGTCATGCCAAGTCTTTGCAATGACAAATCTTGGTAAGGTGGAGAGGCAATGCTTTTAACAATACTCAGTAAGGACAAACGCCCCTTCCACTGCCCAGTCTGCCACTTCCTGCGGTTGCAATTCCAGGGGCCTAGTGGTTACTCTTGGGCTGCGATCCCCAAGCTTCTCAGTTCGAAACCACCAGTTGCACCGCGATCCAAAGATGAGGCTTTCTACTCCCGTAGCGTCGCAGTCTGGGAAACCCACAGGGGGCAGTCCCTTCCCTGTCCTAGTGGGTCCCACCAGTGAGTGAGTGCGCGAGTTCTTACGAGGTAGCCACGCCCCGGCGGGGGCGGGGCCGGCGTTAGGGTTTCCGAGCCTCCGCGCCCAGAAATCCAACCACCGGCGCTTCCGGGGGCGGGAGGAAGCCAGAGGGCGTCACCGGATGCGACCTCCCACAGCCAATCAGAAGCCGGGGCGGCCATTCAAATTGCGGCTACTGCGGGGGCGGGAGGAAGCCAGAGGGCGTCACCGGATGCGACCTCCCACAGCCAATCAGAAGCCGGGGCGGCCATTCAAATCGCGGCTACTGCGGGAGCCGGCGGCGAGGGATTTGTGAGCGCCCCTCAGGGCTCCTGGAGGTAGTGGCCCCTGCGGAGACGCCCAGGGCAGGTTCTGCGGCCAGCG